AAATGCAATTCTTGGAATCGCAGTTCTTGTTTGGTGGCCTGGTTTTCGTGAGGCTGCTACGAATAGTGTTTCCAGATCTGAAACAGGTTCTGGATGTTGTACTTAGATCCAATTCTTGGTATCTTTTCCGATAATCCTCTGATGTAGGGAAGTGCAAGCACTGGTTGAGACGACTTCTCTTCCTTTCTGGGCTCCTGCTGTCTTTCAGCCAAAGTCTGTTCCACCATCGGAGTAGCCACTTCGTTGAAGATTATTTTTGATGATATCTAGTTCCTTCTCGAGACCTTCCTTCGTATTACAGAGTTCGAAAGCACGGCCTAATAGGGTTTTGATGATTTCCCCTTTAGTCGATTGATGGTGGTTGGATTCGTGGTTCAGATACTGTCCCGTGTAAGTGGGTTTTTGGTATACGGATGTTTCCCACTTAGTGTCGGTCCTCTTCACCGATACGTCTAAGAATGGTAATTCGTTGTAGGCTATCATCAACGTATCTCAACCAGACACGAGGTTTTTTATGGGTTTCTTCTACGGGAACGTTGGTTAAAGGCTTTCCACGTCGAAACTGATTAGTTGATCTTCATGTGTGACTTCAATTGCCCCAGTAGTTCGACAAAATGCCTTGAATTCTTCACAAAAGACGATATTTTTCCTTGTAATGGTTGTATTATGGAGAGTAAAAATCTAGACAAGTTTTGTCTGAGCGGAACGTCCTTCTTATGGATTTAGGGTAGTCCATACAAATGGAGGGGCTTACTGTGGTGCGGTGTTAGCGATGATCTCTCCTTGTCCGAAAAATAGACTTGGGTGTTTTTTCAAAATCTGGTACAACTTCCTTTCAATTTATGCAGTAGGGTCCCGTACGATCTTCGTGTACTGTCCCTTCTTAAGAACTTCTTCGATCTTCTGTTCGTAGAGAACAGTATCCATCACCACAGTAGCGTTTCCTTTATCTGCAGGTAGGATGCTGTTGGTGTTATCTCTACGTAAACCGTTCAGAGCTCTACGTTCTTTATTGCTGATGTTAGATGTTGGAACTGGTTCTCGATCCAGCTGTTCTCTGATTTTCCATCTAAATTCTTCTGCCTCGGTCTGGTCACTGAGGGAACTGGTGGATTCCACTGCAGTGATTATCTCCAAAGTGGGCACAGACGTTGGCGCAATGGCGAAGTTCAGGCCTTTCCTTAACACGGATTCCTCTATTCCCGTGAGCGGGCGGGAACTCATGTTGATGACGTTGGCGGTTTCATAGTTGTCCTGTTTTCTGTCTGCATTTGGGCATTGTTTCCTCACTTACTTCCCCCACTTTCTGCTGTGGGTATTCTCCATATCTTGGCGGATCTTCAAGCACGTGCTTTCAATCTTGGCAAAGATTGGTCTATGATCCTCTTCCAATGTCTCTCTTCTTATTTCTTCAAATCTGTCCGTGGCATCCTGCAGCAAAGTTGACCTCTTCCAACGGTGATAATTACTTTGAGACTTTATCAGTGCTCGGCTGGCGCGTTTCAATATGCGTTTGGCTCTCTCCTGGAATTGGCGATTTCTGCAGAAAACCTTTGGGGATGATGTTGTCTCTCGCTCTGCACAGAAAACTGAGGTGAGTTTCTTCCTTGACCATAGTCTTTTCATATCCTTGGAATAAGTCGCTGGTTCCGGGTCCGTATCGGGTATTAAACGTTTGTTTGACACTAACAATCGAAACGTCGTGAAGTAAGTCGGCTTGCAATCTCTTATTAATGATTAATTTAACAATGGGAAAGTAATCCAGCAATAAATACATGACGTTATTTTAAATGTTCGAACTGAGCTCGTTACGGATTATCTAAAACTGACACCAAATACAGTGTGTTGCATTTAAAAAAAAATCCGATGACGTCATCGCATTAATATGGATCACCCTGTAAAATGAAATTTTGTTGTAAAATGTAGAATATTGAAATTAAAAATAGACATTTTTCAGGTTTTTGTAAAACGACCTTTGGGTTGGGAAATATCGAATTTATTCCATACTTTGCGGACACACTGTATAATATCAGACAATGGAAATCCGAACTAATGAAATTAATCATGACAACATTGTCAATCACCTTCAAACAAACGTTGAATATCCGATACGGACCCGAAACCAGCGACTTATTCCGAGGATATGAGAAGACTATGGTTAAGCTTACAAAGGAAGAAACTCGTTTTTTGTACAGAGCGAGAGACAACAACATCATCCCTAAAGGTTTTCTGCTGAAATCGCCAATCCCAGGAGAGAGAACCGAACGCATATCGGAACGCGTCAGCCGAGCACTGATAAGGTCTCAAAGTAATTATCACCGTTGGAAGAGGTCAACTTTGTTGCAGGATGCCACGGACCGATTTGAAGAAATAAGAAGAGAGACATTGAAAGAGGATCATGGACCAATCTTTGCCGAAATTGAAAGCACGTGCTAGAAGATCCGCCAAGATATGGAGAATACTCACAAGAGAAAGTGGGGGAAATTAGTGAGGAAACAATGCTCAATTCATACAGAAAACAGGACAACTATGAAACCGCCAACGTCATCAACATGAGTTCCCGCCCGCTCACGGAAATAGAGGAATCCTTGTTGAGGAAAGGCCTGAACTTCGCCATTGCGCCAACGTCTGTGCCCACTTTGGAGATAATCACTGCAGTGGAATCCACCAGTTCCCTCAGTGACCAGACCTAGGCAGAAGAATTTAGATGGAAAATCAGAGAACAGCTGGATCGAGAACCAGTTCCAACATCTAACATCAGCAATGAAGAACGATAACACATCAAATTCCTTCCTGCAGATAAAGGAAACGCTACTGTTCTGGATACTGTTCTCTACGAACAGAAGATCGAAGAGGTTCTTCAGAAGGGACAATACACGAAGATCGTACGGGACCCTACTACATCAACCGCTCAGACGGATCATCAGCTCCAGAGATTCAGCTACACAAAACTTGTCTAGATTTTTACTCTCCATAATACAACCATTACAAGGAAAAACATGGTCTTTTGTGAAGAATTCAAGGCACTTTGTCGAACTACTAGGGCAATTGAAGTCACACATGAAGATCAACTAATCAGTTTCGACGTGGAAAGCCTTTATACCAACGATCCAGTAGGAGAAGCTCTCCAAATCATACAGAGGAAGCTATCCGAAGACAAGGACCTGAAAGATAAAATGAATTTACCTATTGAAGTAATTATGGAATTGCTAGGATGCTGTGTACGAAACTCTTCGCCCTTCCAACTGAAGGGCGAATTCTTTACACAAGATGCGAGACTGCCAATGAGATCGCCACTTTCACCAGTCATAGCCAATAAATGTATGGAGTGGTTTGAAACTCTGGCCATTGAAGAAGCCCATAAGAAACTTCGTGTCTGATTGAGATACGTTGATGACACTTTCATAATATGGAACCATGGGAATACTGAACTAGATGTCTTTCTGAAACACATCAACAGCGTAAGACCTTCCATCACTTCCACAATGGAGAAGGAAGCCCACAACGAATTGCCATTCTTAGAAGTATTGGTGAAGAGGACCGACACTAAGTGGGAAACATCCGTATACCAGAAACCCACTCACACTGGACAGTATCTGAACCATTCAACCACCATCAATCGACTAAAAAAGGAATTATCAAAACCCTATTAGACCGTGCTTTAGGACTTTGTGATTTGAAGGAAGGTCTCGAGAAGGAACTAGACATCATAAAAAATGATCTTCAACGAAATGGCTACTCCAAAGCGATGGTGGAACAGACTTTGGCTAAACTCCAAGTACAGCATCAGAACCTGCTTCAGATCCGGAAACACAATTCGTAGCAGCCTCACGAAAACCAAGCCACTAAACGAGAACTGCGATTCCAAGAATTGCATTTACCGGATACTCTGTGAGTGCGGAAAATCCTATATTGGTGAAACTAAGAGGCCATTGAATGTTCGCATTGCTGATCACAAGAAACACACACAGCGGGGGGAAACCTGCATATCAGGAATAGCAGAGCATGTTTGGACCCATCAACATAACATCGAATAGTCCTAAGCTGAGATCATACACAAAGAAGAACATTGGTTTAGGAGGAAATTCAAAGAAGCCGCATACATTTTATCTAACAATGTATTCAGCCAAGATAGCGTAGAGATACACAACATATGGAAACCCATAATCAAACGAAAAATGGCCAACTCCCGCCAAACGGAATTTCCCACTAAACCAGTGAAGCGGAAAAAGGAAAGCAGAGATAAGTGTAAGTACTCAAATCACCTATAAATAGTCAGCTCACGGAGGAACCAGTCCAGTCATCACCCGAAGACGATTGTGGATACTAGCAATCGAAACTTCGTGAAGTAACTTGGCTTGGAATCTCATAACTTTTCAATTCAATTTTATTTTTTGTTCAATTTGTTCCATTTCCACTTGTATTTTATTTCACTATTATTTCATTTCAGGTTGTTTTACCTAATATAATTGTTTTTTTTAGCTGAGTATTCAATTTTATTCTTTTTCTTTGATTTTTAATTCTTTTAGTTCTTTCAGGGATTTCAAATAATTTTATATAATATCAGACAATGGAAGTCCTAACTAATGAAATTCATCATGAAACATTGTCAATCACCTTCACAGTAGTTATTACCATCCTCAAACCCTTTGCATCAACACCGAGACGTTCTCTAACCAATATTCTACATCATTACCACCTGCAAGCCCTCAAAATCTGACCTACATAAACTTATCATCTTCTGAAGTATCTATTTCTAGTCCTCAAAATGCATCTCATGCAAATATGACCTCTCCTGAAAATAGTGAAACTGCACAATCCATTGTGTCAAATTTTTCTGTTGAATCTAGAAATTGTGAAGAAATACATAACATATGCAAGGATCAGTCAACCTAATACGTGATTGTATTGAGAGAAGGCTCAAATTATATGCGATTATTATGGTTATTGTCTTTTTCAGTATATAATAAACAAGTGTATGATATTTTTTATTAACGTACCTTATACTAACAGCCAGTCTCTGTTCTGCAGGGATGGATAATCTAATTCTTGAGTTGCTATAAGATTTGGTAGGTTTCAGTAAACTCAATAATTCATCGAAACTTGTGATACTCATTCGAAAGAAGCAAAATAATTTGCCTGGATAATCATGTAGTTTTACAAATACGTTATAGAACTTTCCACTTTCTATCACTCCACAGTGGATGAACCCAATAATCTTTACAATTCTTGTTTTTCCTGTTTCTAATGACAAGTGCGCAAACAAGCGATTCCAGATCCATCTTGACGAATTATAAATAAATTGCAACATTGTCACCGTAAGTGCGTGCAATCAAGAAAATTCTGATGACGTGACAGTGACATAACATTTATTGTCACCGTGACAAAAGTCACCAATGCGCGCTAGCTCTAATATATTCAACGCGAGATACTTCACTAACTAGCTTGTTTACGGAGGGCAAAATCTGTTTTATATTAATTTCGGGCTGGTTGAGTCAGCAATTTCAGAAAGTTGTGCATTTTCCCCGTTCAGGATATATTAAGTTAAAAACTATATCTGAAGACCGAGTGAGTACCTACCTATTGATCTTCTCTACCTAGAATATGCCATCCCATGTCAATGTGAACAAAAATTACCATTGCACCAACTCTCTGAATGCCGGCGTTTGAATTCTACAGGGGATCAATGTTTTGATATTTTGACGATTTTTCAAAAATTTGGAATTTCATTTTCATCATATCGATACATACCGAGGGTTAAACTTTGTTTTTGGTAATTGATGTTACTTACAGTACATGAGAGGGCAATCATATTTTGCAATTGAACCAACTATCCAACTTTGAATATTTGGAAGATACGGAGCGATCAAAAATATAGTTACAATTACGGAAAAATGTATCCCTTTGTATAGTCAGCTTTCACCAATATATTTTTTATATATGAACAATGAGATCGATGAAGTAATGAAAAAAAAAATTACATCATATAATTCAGTTTCTCCAAAATTTTACTCGCTTCCCAAAATTCACAAACCTACATTATCTGGTAGACCAATAGTAGCCTCCATAAGAGCACCCACAGAATCCATCGCTTCCTTCCTTACTGATATTCTCACGAGCTAATACAAAGGTATTAGCTAGTTTAGATATAGTTTCCCTTTTCAGAAATGTATACCTAGAAACCTGTCTGAGATCCATAGAGAGGAAATGGGACGAGATCAGTGGTTTTTGCAGTTTGACTAAAGATACTTTTCTAAATTTAATCTCCTTCTTATTCAACAACACTTATTTCAAATATAACAGTAAATTTTAGAAACAAACCTTTGGCACCCCAATGGGAGCCAAAATAAGCCCAATTTTGGCAGCTTACGTCATGGACGACTTGCTGGACATTGTCCTGGAAGTACTCCCTTATAAACCGTTTTTCCTCAAAAAATATGTAGACGATATTATCATATCCATCGCCAGAGAATTTCTTGATGAAACCCTGTCCATTTTCAACAGCTACGATCCATATATACAATTTACACTAGAAAAAGAAAATAAAGGAAACAGTGTTCCTTTCCTAGACACTATCTTCATTAGATCACCGAATAACGTGATATACATAGATTGGTATAGAAAACCGATGAGCTTGGGTCGCTATATCAACTATTGGTCATATCACAACCAAAACATGAAGACCAACGTAATAAAACAGATGAAAGAAAGGGTTCTCAAGATCTCTGACACTTCCTTCCACAAAAAAAAACCTAGATCTCCTTTATAAACATTTTTGGCAAAATTCATACCCTCCACAGTTCCTAAAAAAATTATTGTACAGCACTTCATCCATAGATAACTTAAATACAAACAATATTAGATTAACAAATAATAACAATATTATCGATACTTTAACCAATGTGAATAATCATTCACATGTTTCATTAAATACAGAAACTGCAGGTCCCACTGAGTTGAGTCAAATTTCCAATTTTTATGCATCTCTTCCATACATTAAAGATATCAACCCAGGATTATCCAGAATCCTCAAGTCTGCCAATAATAATACCAAAATTGAAAACAAAAATGTTTTAACAATTGATAGCATTTTTTCAAAATTAAAAGAGAAAACTCCCTATAACAACTGTTCGGATGTAGTTTACTGTATACCATGTATGAACTGTGACAAAGAATATATAGGACAGACATCTAGATTATTAAAAGATCGGATCACAGCACACAAAAGTGACAGTAGGTTACACCCGGAACGATGTGCTTTGAGTGAACATGTCTCTAAACAAAGGCACTGTATGGATTAATATTCAATTAAAATTTTATCAACCGAAAAAAACACTACCAAGAGACTTTTCCTAGAAATGGTACATATAACACATTCACAAAGCTCCATGAATAAAAAAACCGACTTAAATCACCTAAGTGGAATTTACTCTTATTTAATTGGTATGGATAATGACAAAATGAGAAATCACCAAATCTCATCTAATGGTATTCTTCTAACAGATTGAATCTTCCAGATATAATACATCATGATCCTTTTTTCATTATTATTGTTTAATATAAAATCCATATATATATCTATATATAGGCTGATTCACGGTGGATGGCACATTAGACGTTTCTGGTGAACCAGACAACGGATCACTTTGAAAATTTAATGGAGGGCATATTCGGACATTCTCTAGCCAACTAAAATATTTTCGACAATGCAGTGTTGCCGTTTCTATTAGAAAGCAGTAGTAAATAAGGTGAATGTTCAAATATCGCGGGTTTAAGTACACTCGATTAGGGATTTTTTATATTTTTATGTTGATACACTAGTTTCGAACATAAGTTCATAGTTCCGGCTGTCTAGCATGTTTAGTTTGTGAGAGACATAAAAGTTAGAAGTGTTTCGCTTATTCAGCGGGTTTCTGCTACCGAAAAAAAAATGGATCAAAGAATTAACAATAAATTTTGAGTAAAAAATGGAATTAACTGATCAAAGACACTTGAAATGTTGACAATCGCATACAGTGATTGTATTATGAGTCAGAAAAATGTTTACAAGTGGTACAATCTTTTCACAGAAGGTCGAGAAGATGTGACGACGCTTGCCCTGGACACCCCAGCATATAGACAACCGATGAAAATGTAGAGAAAGTGAAGGAAATTGTCATTGAGAATCGTCGAATTACTATTATAGAAGTTGCTGAAAATGTCGGCATATCGGTTGCTTCCTGCCATGTGATTTTTTGGTAAATTTTGGGCAGGAAGCATGCGGCAGCGACGTTCGTTCCAAAATTGCTGAATTTTGACAAAAAACAACGTCGCATGAGCATCGCTCGGGAATTAATGAATGACGCTAATGACAATCCAGATTTGCTTAAAAGGGTCATAACTAGTGACAAGTCAATAAAACACCTGTCTACAGAATGCCAAATTGAGATATGTGCAATGTGCTGTGTAATAGATTGTGTGAAAATTGTCATTATAACTGCTTACAGACCTCCTAGTGGTGAATCAGATTTATTCTTTGACTGTTTGTCGCAAGCATTACATATTGCTGTAAAAAGGTCTAAAAACATAATTCTTTGTGGGGATTTCAACATTGACTTACTTTCAAATGATAGGAACGCAAACTTATTAAGAGATTTATTTTCATCTTTTTAGCTGTTTAATAATATGCTATGTCCAACAAGAGTTTTCACTAATATTAATGGGTATACCAGTAGTACGTGTATTGACTATATGGCAACAACGTTATCTTCAAACGTATATGATTGTCAGCTAATCCAACCAAATATTGCTGATCATCTTTCTCATATCTTGACGTTAAACTTGGATAATGTCGATCATGAGCTCAAAAGTAATCCTAATGCGTATGTATCTCTGAAACGTCAAGTGCACCCCAACAATATCAGTGAAATGAGATGGAGACTGAATAATATACAATGGTTCCCAACTCTTTCCTATCTCACAGTTAAGGAAGGATTCTCCTACTTTTGGAATCTATTAAATGGTGTTTTGAAGTCTCCTGTCCAAAGAAAAGTGTCAAAGCGAAAAAGTTAAATAATCGTTGGATAACCAATGATCTTGTCGAAGAGGGAAAATATTTGAGAGAAATGTTCCATGTCTTAACTAGTTTTCAAGTAATTGACTTGCTGAGCATGTCTAATTATAAAAATAGACTTAGAAAGTTCAATGAAATGTATCCGAATCTACCGCCAATGAACCTCAAGAAATTTATACGAATTCAGAACAATTTCAATATGTTTGGATAAACTTTAAAAATTCATGAAGAAACTTGAAATTGGAAATATTGATATGAATAATTATAAAAAAGTAAAACAATCATGTGGAATATTTCAAAATATGTGCTTGCATAGATGCATAGAAAAGTAGTACACTTAATTTCAGCACTGTAAACACGACTTGCTTATATTGAGAACTGCCATATTTCTTTTGTGCCTCTTTAACGTTTTTAAAAAATCCAAATGCAATTTTTAAAGATCAGATCAACAAAACACAATTTACTGTATTGAAATAACAATGTTTTAGTTTGAAGACTTGTACCTACTACTTTTCTATGCAAGTAACTATTAGTCCATATCCAAAATAGAGCAGTCCTTGGAATGTCATTCGATTGCTGTCAGAGTTATGAATGTTTTTGATAGCAAACATATTTCGATATCAAATATTAGTATTTGCTAATAATTACCCATCAACATCCGATCAATACCAGCTCGAATGTCACATCTGTTTAAAAATATGTTTTTCCGTTAACCAGCTGTCGCACCCCTACGAACGACAACTCTCAAATGTCGAAACTTGTGCGAGCTGAGGTTTAACGAGGTCTTACCTTTTAATGTATGATTCCTAACACGGGTTGGACGATAGCAAGTTAAAATCGATCGTTCAGCTTGGGGCTTGAACCACCGACCAACATGGCAGTCGATTTGAGTGAGTGAACAAAGCACCCACGTCAAACCGACCGGCTACCGTCCGACCGTTCGTTCCATCGTATATCGGCTTTGCAGCCATCGATAGGGAATTATATATTGCCAAGGTTTTATATTACCCGACACCAGACAACCCAAAGGTCATCGTTTACATCGACGGTTCATACGCCGCCATAAATGAAAGTTGTAATTTCAGGATACTTCGCCAATCTTTCTGCCGATACAAGGAACATCTGGTAGAATCAGTGTTGATTGTAGCCCCGGATGAATATATACTGAGTATTCAAGGAGCCTATTT